AGTTCCACACAGCTTGAAAGAACTCGGATCGACAAATGGCCTGCCATTTCCAAACAAGCTTGTTGCAAGACATTTAGGCGCCTAAAATATCAGAACTAGAAATGTGTTTACGTCACTGGATCGATCACCCGCAATACATTCAGCTGGGGGGAGGGGGGTAAATCAGGGGTTGTTGGGGGGGGGGGGGGGGGTCAGAAAACACAAAACCTGAAAGTGTTTAATTCAAGATTGAATTCCGGATTGTAAATTTAGTTCACAAGCATTCTGATATATATATATATATATATATATATATATATATATATATATATATATATATATATATATATATATGTGTAAATGTATATATATGTATGTATACACTTGCTGCATACCCCTACTCCGCCACGGTGAATCTTCTTTAAATGTTCCAACTTGGGAACAGAACAAAACTAAACACAAACACAGCACAAACACAAAAGAAAGACGTGCACAACGCAAACGAAAACACAACACAAATACAAACGCAAACACAAAAAATATGCAAACACAAACACAATGCAAACACAAATGCAAGCGCAAAAAAAACGAAAACACAAACGCAACACTCAAACACAAAAGAACACGCAAGCACAAACACAATGCAAACGCAAACACAAAAGTAAACGCAAAAAAATACAAAACGAAAACGCAAACACAAACGCCAACGCTAAAGACAACTTAAATGCAAACATAAACGCATAGTTCTCACAGTCTAGCCCTGATTCAACTTAGTAATCGACTTTAATACCCAACTTATCCATAAAATAAATAAAAGGCAGTATTTAAAATATCCGTGTCTTATCTATCATATTACACTATATCAGTCCATGCTAATTACATTGTTCAAATAATTATGCCCTCTTGAACATCCGCAGAATTTGCATTCACTTTTTTTTTTTACTTTCTCGTATATACAAAGTATAGAGAAAATATTGTAATCGTGCAAAAAAATCGAGATTTTTACAAATCTCGACGTTTTACACCTCACTGATACGGAAAAACGTAATTTTGCAATCTTGTCCGTATGTCTGTGTGTCTGTGTGTGTCTGTGTGTGTGTGTGTGTCTGTGTGTAAACACGATAACTTGAGTACCGTTACAGCTAGGTTGATGAAATTTCATATATAAGTATTTTATCAAAATCGTAGATCCGTATCAACTTTTGAGCGATTTCCGATAACCGGAAGTGGAACTTTTTCTACTTTGAAGTTTTCAAAAGCCTATAACTTGAGTACTATTTCAGATAGATAAATGAAATTTCAAGTGTAAGTAAAAGATCTAATTCTCTACCTTCTATCAAATTTTGAGTAATTTCCGTTGACCGGAAGTACTAATTTACGCTATTTCCGATTTCTCAAAGAACGCATGTAAATTTATAAAGAACTAATAATATTGCGCACTATTATGCGCTTTTTGCTTTGGCGTTCACTTGGTGCGCAATTCTTTTTTTCTACTAGATTTTATTCTATTTTTAAAAGTTTAAGTAAACAAAAATCATGTCTATATTCCGAGTTGCCATCCCACATAGTGTTATATTAGAATATTCGAAAAAGTTTAGGGGAGATCACTCCCGGTTTATTTTAATTAGCGTGAGTTGAATTTCTTTTTACAAGCTTTTATTTAACTCACTTCCTCGTCAGTCGTCAGTCTGTCGTCAGTCTGTGTAATAACAAGCTTTTATGTAATAATGCACTAAAAAGTAGAAAATAAATTATAGACTACTATTTAAATAACTATAAAGAAAAGCGTGGGTGTTTTTCTTAACATTAGTAAAGGTATCCAATAGATACTAAAGTGACCCACGCTTTTCTTTATAGTTATTTAAATAGTAGTCTATAATTTATTTTCTACTTTTTAGTGCATTATTACATAAAAGCTTGTTATTAAAACGTTTTTTATGAATTTTTAAAAATTACTTTCTATCCAACTAAACTACACGCGTCATCACGTTCAATAGGCGCGCAATGGTTTTTAGTCATGAAACTCTATTGTAAATAAAACCATGTAAAATACTAAAAAACAAGTTAATTAAAAAAGTCTAGTGACATTTATGCGCAATTTCCTTATGTTATCTAAAAATAACTCTGACGTATAATGCTGGGGTGCGTTCAAGCTAGAAGAACGATCGGTTTGTAGGTGTTATGTAATTTTAAAATTTGTGACCGAACGAGAGGATATTTTTGAAAACTTTCTTCGGCAATATTGTTCTAAATTATGGCAGAAATCGATTTGTACATGTTTCAAGTCGCTAAGTGGTCTGGTTGCCGAGATATGGGCCAAAAACTGAATTTTTTCGAGGTTTTTTGGCTTTTCCGGGAAATACATGAAAGAAACCCGGAATTTTTATGGCCTATGCTCATTCTCGTAACTTGCTTAACATAATTGCTTTTGGAACTAGTCATCGATATTGCTTCGTTGAGGAGGAGATACGACTTAAAGCCCGGACACACATTCATCCATACATTCATTCATCCATCCATTCCCAGAAATGACGAGTTAATAAACGCAATTCTCCAGAATGGAAATTGCGCTAAAAAAAACGTTTTAATAACAAGCTTTTATGTACTAATGCGCTAAAAAGTAGAAAATAAATTATAGACTACTATTTAAATTACTATAAAGAAAAGCGTGGGTCCCTTCCTAAGTATTAGTAAAGGTATCCAATAGATACTAAAGTGGCCCACGCTTTTCTTTATAGTAGTTTAAATAGTAGTCTATAATTTATTTTCTAATTTTTAGTGCATTAGTACATAAAAGCTTGTTATTAAAACGTTTTTATTGAAACAAAATTCACTTTTTTTTTGTCTACCAGCCACAGGTACACACGTTTTTAAATTATAGGCAAATATATTTTTCTTGTTCGGAAAAAAATAATTTATAAAATAGTTATTGGTCAAACACAATGTGCTTTACTATGCGTTGAACGATATTTACGCCAAAACAAAGAAATAACCAAATCGCTAAAAATCCGACATATTTAAAATAACGTAACCTATCAATACCTATTAGAAAAATTAAAAGTAAATTACATACATTATTAGTCAAAACAACACCATATTAAATGCATGCCTTTATTAAGAGTCTTAAATTAATTCCGTTAAAAACTTTAAAAAAAAATTAATTTGTATGAGTTTTGGCTGAGAAAAATGTATACATTTTATAACGTATGTCTTCATAAGTAGATCCAGTGGCGTTGCTAGGTTGGGTGTCACCCGGTGCGGCACTTCGTGGTATCCCCCCCCCCCCCATCGAAGTCACAAATTATATATATATATATATATATATATATATATATATATATATATATATATATATATATATATATATGTATATATATATATATATATATATATATATATATATATATAGGCTATATATATAAGCGTGTGTGTTTGTGTCGGCCTCCATGGGCCTATAATTTAAATATTCGCCACATACGCGTATATGTATGTGCATAAGCTTTAATCACTGCAGTCACGATGTTTATCTTTAATCTGTTAATAATACAGTTGGGTGTAGCATTGTTTTCTCTATAGTGAGCCCGTTTACGTCATGGTGTCACTCCTACCCTCTTGTAATAATAGTCGATTCGTACATAAAAGACTATTTAAGTTTAATTCAATCATTAATAGAACTGGCAAGAAGCATTTTTCTTCTGTACATTTTGCAATGTTTTGCCTTGGTGTCACCCCCCCAATTGGTGTCACCCGGTGATGTCCGCACCCCCCTCCCCCCCCCCCCCCCCCCCCGCACCCCCCGGCCGCCTCTGAGTAGATCTATAGATCTAAATCGAATCTTATTGAAATAGTTAATTTCTTTTTAATCATTGTAAAATTGGAATTCGAATCATTAACAAATTGTCCTATACGTAGTTGCAATAATAATTTAATATAATTAATAACTTTACTTAAGCCCACCGGTACTTGATTCTATAATTAGTAAATAAAAATTTTAATTGTTGCATTTGGAGTACTAATTGGGATTAGGGTTAGGTAGAGAATGGTACTGCTAATTGAGTTAAGATTGGGATTAGGGTTAGGATAATGGTTAGGTAGAGAATGGTTCTGTCAATTGAGTTAGTGTTGGGATTAGGGTTAGAATAAAGGTTAGGTAGAGGTTGGTACTGCTCATTAAGTTAGGGTTGGGATTAGGGTTAGGGTTAGGATAAAGTTTAGGCAGAGGATGGTACTGCTCATTGAGTTAGGGTTGGGATTAGGGTTAGGGTTAGGATAAAGGTTAGGCAGAGGATGGGACTGCTCATTGAGTTAGGGTTGGGATTAGGGTTAGGGTTAGGATAAAGGTTAGGTAGAGGATGGTACTGCTAATTGGGTTAGGGTTAGTGTTGCCTTTTAGGGTTATTCACCCAGTTAGACTTCCATGTGACAAGACACTTGACAAAATGCACCATTTTAATTGTGGCCTTTATTTATGCATATATTAAACACTCGACATGGCACTAGTTTATTTAACTAACCATTTTTGCCGACCAAGAGTCAAATAACTTCCAATCGTCTCGATCTATCATATCGCCTCATAAGTCTATACATAATAATATATATTATTTATTTGGACTCATTTGTATTTGCACTCATCTACTCTCATAGAACTTATATTACATAATTCATAACAGTTAGGGTAAGGGTTGGGTTGAGAATAGTAGGGTTAAGTTATCCACATTATCGTTGTAATAGATTGAGATAATTGTGAGGTCAAGGGAACTCACTCTTCTGTATTAGTATTATATTTATATTGTTATCTTGAGTGATGTCCCTTGTGCATGGTACTTCCGTCCTTTCCGGTTAACAAATAAAGCTGTTTACATGCTCATGGCTTCTGTCTCCGTTGTATTCATAATCCACCTCAATCGTAAAGATAGAAAGTTACAAACAAAACGATCAAAAAATAAAATACTCCGACATATGCTCTCTGAATCAGGTGAAGTTTTGTCACTCAAGTTAACACAACCTTTGTATTTCTGTAGGTCATACTACCTTTGGTTGTTGAAGGACACAGTCCCTGGTTGTTGAAGGACACAGTCCCTGGTTGTTGAAGGACACAGCCCCTGGTTGTTGAAGGACACAGCCCCTGGTTGTTGAAGGACACAGCCCCTGGTTGTTGAAGGACACAGCCCCTGGTTGTTGAAGGACACAGCCCCTGGTTGTTGAAGGACACAGCCCCTGGTTGTTGAAGGACACAGCCCCTGGTTGTTGAAGGACACAGCCTCTGGTTGTTGAAGGACACAGCCCCTGGTTGTTGAAGGACACAGCCCCTGGTTGTTGAAGGACACACAGAATTTCTTGCGATTAAAAACAATTTTCTGTGGTCTACTTTGGTGTGTTTGGATAAGGGTTATAGAGGCAATTTTTTTCTTTGAATTCATTGTGGTGTTAGTAGAGTCTGAGACTTGAAGATCTGTTTGACTTTGCTAAGACCGGGGGACGTGCTTTGTGTTGATGACAAGGAGAGAAATTCGAACATGTAGTTGTTGTCAAAGTTAGCGCCAAGATGAGGCGCAGTTATCGCCGATGGTTCAGATCCTGTTCTTTTGCTTTCCCCGCAATAGTACTTGTATACGTCACAGTTGTTCACAGTGGTTTACTTTTAGCCGCCATTACTTATGGCGTTCGACCACTTGATGATGTCATTTCCAGCAGAGGCTTTCGTAAACTTCTGGAAAATGGTCAGATGGAAGGCCACAACGGGTCGGTCCAACAGCATCGCCTCCCACAGTCCATTATTATCGGTGCCAGAAAGTGTGGCACTCGCGCCCTCATCGAGTTTCTAGAAATGCACCCGCAAATAATATCTCCAAATGATGAGATGCATTTCTTCAGCAACGACAGCAACTACAAACTTGGCATTGAATGGTATCGTAAAAAGATGCCATTGTCCTACCCAGAACAAATCACCGTGGAGAAAACACCACGGTACTTCATATCTAAAATCAGCCCCAGTCGCATTCACAGAATGAACAGCTCTATCAAATTAATTGTTATCTTACGACATCCAACCACTCGCGTCATATCTGACTACACTCAGATCTGCGCCAACAAACTAATGAAAAATGAAACTGCTGAGCCATTTGAAATGTTGGCCCTTGACAGACAAACAGGCCAGGTGAACCCCGAGTACCGGGCCATTGCCATCAGCATGTACCACTTGCACATTGCCAGGTGGCTCGAGTTATTTTCACTCAACCAAATTCACATTGTTGACGGTGAGAATTTAATCGTCAACCCCCTGGAAGAACTGAGCAAACTGGAAAGTTTTTTAAACGTGCCCCACATCATCAGCAGAGATTGGCTCTACCTCAACTCTAGCAGGGGCTTTTACTGCATGAGGAGCCGGCAGGGGCGCCAGAAATGTCTAGGCGCAAACAAAGGAAGGAAACATGTCAATATTAGTGAGAGAGTCACGCTCAAACTCAACGCATTTTTTAAACCGCACAACGAGAAGCTTTTTCAACTCATTGGTCGCAGATTTCATTGGAGCTGACTCTCCATCTGTTTCGTGCCAGCCATTCAAGTGTGATGAAAGTGTGAGGGATAAAAGTGTGTGAAAGCTGTGTGTGGAAAAACAAGATGAGAGTGTGGAATAGATTGGCAGAGGGAGTGATGAGTGTGTTTGATTGGTAGTTGGCATTATGTGATATATTGTGATTGGTTTCAACGATTGAACAATCTAAAGCCTCCAAATAAACATATGTTAGAAACGTATGGTAAGCGTGGGAAAAACATAATGCGACACAGCCATTACCTCCACCCCCACCCCCTAGACAAGTTGTACGACAGTTTTCGTATACACACACATTTATTACAAGTTCCTACTCTTTTTAAAGTGTATGACCGTTAAAAAATTACCAACCCACAGCTATAACCAAGTTGGTGATCAATTCATTCTTATGCAATGACCTAATCTCTTTAGTAACAAATTTAATGTTGTGCATGACCTAATCGCTATGGCTAACAACCTGCATTATTTTGGGAACGTTCTTTTCGCCTAACTAAATGATTCAACCATATATCTCTTGTCGGCATTAAGGGTTAGGGTTATGCATTAATTATATACTGCTAGAACAGAATCATATAATGTTATGTAAAATTGACATAGAACAAGATTATATTGGTCAAATGCATCAACTCGTAGTTAGAACAATGTCAAATTGAAACGTTTGGGAGGAAGCAGATGAGTCACGTAGATAAGTGGAGATTGAACATTGTGCCTTTCTTTAGCATGGCCTCGAGTTTTTCGAAAAAATCAAATTGTTTAGATAGAACAAAATAATACTGAGGGTACGACTGTGTTTTTGGGTGGTCGTTTTTCTAAGTTTTGACTTCAATGCTAGTCTGTTAAGTTAACTGTTTAGATGGACAAATCTGGTGACAGGTTAACTTATTACATAGACAGTGCCATTCTGGTGAAGTAAACTTTGCTTTATAGAGCCACTTATTTGCTTCTCCCTGATAACTTCTTGCTAGCAGGATATTGCTGGACATCTTGCAACAGAACCTATTTGGCGTTTCAGTGTATGTTTTATAATATTGTAGTCTGGCTTTTACAATTACACATGAATCTATATGTCAACAGAGATTTGTAAGATGTGTTCAACTGCTCTCTGCATATTTATGGCAAACATTTAAACGATATTTCGCTCACACATCATTATTTTAATTTTTGTTGCCTGTCCTCTACTCCGAAAATAAGGCCACAACTCTAATATGAGGATGTACTTTGTTAAATATGCTATATATATATATATATATATATATATATATATATATATATATACATATATATATATATATATATATATATATATATATATATATATATATATATATATATATATATATATATATATATATATATTCATTGCAATATATTATTTTTTCAAAATATTTTGTTGGTTTGTTTTTATTTTTAGTCGTGTAAAAATAATATATTAATATGACTCAAATATATTGAAGCACAAATACAACACATTTATTAGTTTCACAAATGTCATATATATGTAGGCCCATTTCGTTTACAAATCACAGTATATATATATATATATATATATATATATATATATATATATATATATATATATATATATATATATATATATATATATATATATATATATATATAATCCCTTAATATGCGTTATCATTTTAGAAAAGAATAATAATGTTAAATAAAACGCGAGTGATCTCCCTTAAACTTTCTTGAACATTCTTATACTACACTACGGGGGATGGTAACTCAGAATATAGATATGATTTTTAATTACTTACTAGCTGCATACCCGTGCTCCGTCACGGTGAATCAGAAACAGAAAAAACTAAACACAAACTCAAAAATAACACAAACACAAAAGAATTTTTATTTTGGCGTTCACTTGGTGTTCAATTCTTTTTTCTACGAGATTCTATTCTATTTTTAAAAGTTTAAGTAATTAAAAATGGATTTAAAATATTACTTATATTCCGAGTTGCCATCCCCCGTAGTGTTATATAAGAATACGAGCCGACCCGCGGCATATCATACGCCGCTATTTAGTTGTTTTATTTTCTACTTTTCAGTAATTCATAATTTGTGAATTCGACAGTACCAATGCTGCAACTGAAAATATTTGCTTTAAAACACTATCAGTAGGTCGTTAAGGACGATACTGCCCCCACCATCCTTTCCCCCCTACCCTACCCCCCCCCCCCCCCCCCCCCCACCCAAGGTTAGGGTTATTTTATTATTTTATATAAACCCAAAGATTCATATAAAATAATTAATATTAATTAAGGTCTGAAATAGTGTAGTATAGAAAGTCATTATTATCTAGATCTAGATAGAGTTTTCTAGATTCTACGACTGGTTTGGTTAAGTATAGTCAAGTCTTTCCGTAGTTCTAGATCTAGAACCTAGATAGATAAATCTCTTGTATTCTTGAATTAGATGATCCTTGAAGCTAAAAAGCAAAGATTTATATCAAATATTTAAGGACTAAAATACTTTAATAAAGAAACTCAATAATATATTGTGATTTTATAATGGTTTTTATTTTTTACTAATTAATTTTGGTTTGACCTAGATTCTAGATCTATAACTTTTCCTTCCTTCGACAGCTGATCTGTAGATTCTAGATCTAGAGAAATGGATTGTGTGCTCAAATTAAAAGAACTGTTGAAAACTGATAATAGTGTTGGAACTTAATAAAAATAGCAAACGGACGTATCGTTAAAGAAAGCTATAGCCAACAGAAAATTAGCTTTATAATGCGTTAAACTTTATAATTTCGTTTGTCTATCTGAAACATTACTCAAGTTATAGGCTTTTGAAAATTTGAAAGTAGAATACGTTCCACTTACGGTTACCAGAAATCGCCAAAAGTATAAAATTTTAAATAAAACTTATATATAAAATTTCATCACCCTAGCTGTAACGGTACTCAGGTTATTGTGTTTACAGACACGCACACACACAGACATACAGATAAGATTGCAGAACTATGTTTTTCCGACTCTATTATTCGTATACGAGAAAGTAAAAAAAAATGCCTGATCTGAGATAGCGGGTAGTTTGGAACTATCTGTTATGATATGTTATATAGTTGAAAATGTAGAATAAAGATGCAATTTTTATCAGTAATTTGTTAATTTCTATACAGCCATTGATCTCTGTACAACTTTACTGGTCACCCTAGTTCTACAGACATAGTTGTCGAGTTATGTATGACCTCCGCTAGTGCAAATGTTGTCAAATCAGAGGCGTAGCGATGGGGATGGGGGGGGGGGACATATGTCCCCGGGTGCCGACCTTAGTGGGCGCCAAAATGGGTTGTAAAAACATTAAAATATCCGTTTAGCTGCATTTTTGCAGTTTGAGGGGGGGGGGGGTGCAAATCGAAAGTTTGAGGGGGGGGATGCAAATTGAAAATTTGCTCTCGAGGGGGGCGCCAAATTGAAAGTTTGTCCCCGGGCGCCTGGAAGGGTCGCTACGCCTCTGTGTCAAATTACATATCTATGGCTCTTTTCCAGTATATAGACAGAAAAGCCAGAATATAGCCAGCGTATGTCAAAAAGCAAGATTCCAACTTGAAGTGGGAGGCTTTATCAATAACTATTGGTTCAGTCTACCAATAAAATTGAAATAGGTGATCAATATTTGCCAACAATTATTTAAGTTTTGTGATAGTTATGTTGCAAGTTGTTTTTTTTTTCCCCCAGAAAACTGAAAAATTAACCTCTTAAAATTCTCTTGATGGCTCCAAAATCTATAGCGATGACAGACCGGCTTACATACTATATATATATATTATATTATATTATAGATATAATAAGACATTTCACACAGTGTTCATCCAGCCTTTTTTCCGGGAGGGGGGGGGGGTGGGGGTCGACTGGACAGTGTTAAAAGTATATATTTTCTATATAAATTCCATTTCGTTCGGGGAGCGGTAGACTTTCTATGCAGCAACCCCCCCCCCCCCCCCCCCCCCCTGAAGTGATGTCTGGCAGAAACTCTTATTTCGTCTTGATTTTCCCTCTGAAAGTCCCTCAGACTTCTTTCCAAAAGTCCTTTTCCTGTGCCACATACCACGTTCGCAAAACAAAATTTCAAAGTTTGGCTCTTAGCCGAAGTACACAAACTTATCAATAATAACAAAAATAAAATAAAAACCCACACATGTCAGTAGTAAACAAAGGTAAAACGAAATAATGCTGACGCCATAACACAGTACATAACAGCCACCTTTAAAACTAAATAAGAAGAATGAACATACATAATACGGGCCTACGCCCCAACAAATGACAGCAGAGGACAAAGAAGAATTCTACAACAGGCTAATGACCATTATCCAGAACCGACCAAGAAGAAATATCATGTATGACTTTAATGCTTAGTTTGGAAGTGACAACAGAGGATATGAAGAATTACTATATAAACAAGACTTTCTCTATACTTCGTATATACGAGAAAGTAAAAAGCGTGGGTCAATATATTATATACTGAATACCTTTACTAATATTGAGGAGAAGACCCACGCTATTATTTATAATAATTTAAATTGTAGTGTATTATAAAATATTTAAAGAAAATAATTTATTCTTTTTTTCTTTTAGTACATTATTACATAAAAGCTTGTTATTATAACGTTTTTATGCAATTTTTCTCCAGTGCTTTAATTTTTTTTAAAATTTACAATAGACCTGCATGACTAAAAACTATTGCGCATCAAATCAACATGATAATACGCGTATAATATTGCTGAAAGAATAGTACAAAACAGCCTACTAATTACAGAAAATTGTAATTAATTCATAAAAAAATTAATTAGTTATCCAATTAAGGCAAATTTAATGTCAGATTGCATTATCTCCATATCTTGACCAACGTGCCAACTTTGGAACGAATCTGTCAGTAAGAAGTGCCTAAAAGTTTGCTTGCCCGTTTCGATTTATGACGACAGACTGACTGATGACAGACAGACAGAGGAAGCAAGTTAAACAAATGCTTGTAAAAACCTACGAACGTCAACATGGTAAGAAGTTCTAGGTCCTATTAAAAGGTGAAATAAGGAATGGATTTCAGTAAAGACTTAGAAAATTATTGAGGAGAGAAAAAAAGGCAACATTAAACAACATTCGTACATGGGCTGCTAAATTAAAAGCCCCGGAAGAACATACTGAAACAAATAAAAATGTCAAGAAATGCATAAGGAACGACAAACAGAATTACTTTGAATTGTTGGCAAGTGAAGCAGAAGAAGCACTCTACCATGGGAATATCAGGGACCTTTACAATTTAGAAGATATCTGGGAAGTACAGTAAACCAGAGAGGCCAGTGAAGACCAAAGATGGAAAGATAATACCTGATGCGGAAGGACCGATGAAGAGATGGGCAGAACATTTTAAAGAACTACTGAATAGACCAACACCAGTGTGCACGCAAGATATACCACCAGCTGAAAATGATCTCCATATAGACTGCAACCCACCTTCAAAAGAGGAGATACATAAAGCCATAAAGCAAATAAAAAAATTGGAAGACTCCAGGATTAGATGGTATACCAGCTAAAGCATTGATAGCAGATAGCAAAATTAGCACTGCACTACTACACACACTCTTCAAGAAAATGTGAAAAGATCAACATATACTAGAGGAATGGAAGGAGGGACTGCTCATAAATAGACCTATATTAAAGCACAGGGGCCCCCGGGGGGGGGGGGGGTCAAAAGTTTAAATTCCTGACGCTGTTGTATCCTTTAAGAAAATCATAGAGTAAATCCTTTCAACTTTTCAATCCTCAATATGACATTTTTGAAGATCTGTATTTTTTCCAGGTGGGCACCTAAGCTATCTCCCCACCGAATACCAACTTTTGACGCATCTGCAAGTCGTCGACCTAATTCAAGCTCATTTTAAAATGTATAGTTTATATAAGGTGGCGGTAACTTTAGATCAGTCTTTGGTAACTTGAAACTCAATTATTTAGATGACTCATTCATTCAGCAAACGTTCTTGAATTTCTTGTCTCCGTGCAGCTTAATAAAGTGTTTTTCTGATGATAGACTAAATTCCTTAACTTTGGATCGTGGGTTAGGGTCAGGGTCAGGGTTATACTGTAGAGGACGCTAACTCCCATCAATTTCCGTATGCGTGAATACATATTTTAATTATTCTTCCGACCACTTTTTTATTTTCTCGACATAGTTCGTATGATAGGAATAAATATTAAGAAAGATATCACACGATGTACCATCACGACAGTCACAAGTTGATCACTGGCTATACCACGGTATAGAAATTAAAAGTATGTCCTTCGCAATACGTATATACACGAACAGCGCGCGCCTGTATAGTTGACGTTGTTACCATGCGCTGTCCTGTTGAACTTTCACCGACCTTTGCCGCTAGTTCTATCATACGCACTGGCAAAATCCGATCGCAAATCCGTTGAGTCGGGTGTGTGTCTTGACCTCCATAGACTGACTCAACTAACCCCTTGTGTTCGAACGATTACAGGTTAAGAGCCACTGGTGTAGATGGATATTAATTTAAAAATAGAATTGTTTCTTGTATGACATGTTGAACAGACGTGTTTCCCTTTTTTTGTAACTGTTTTGAACGCGCCAAGTAAGGTTACTGACGTCATAGGTTTGTTTCCTGCTTTAAAAAAAAACATCAATAGCACATTGCCAGCTGAGCTACTGTGCTGGTCGATTGTCATCTACTTACTGGCGCTTGTCTCCCTTAGCTCGGTCCTAGCCAGACACACGAACAATCTGTTTCTGTTCTCTCTGTGTTGCTGCGAGGACTACAGTTTACACTGTCATTAAGGTAATTCTTCTCACAAGTAGTCTCTATAATAAGGCTACATTTTTATCTATATCAGTAGACGTCTATAGTCTTAGGTAAAGGGGTGGTTTTTTAATCAATAAAAATAGTTTCCTATAGTTTTATCTGATCTAACCCTTTTTTGTGTATGTTAAATAGTAGAGCTGCATTATTTAATTTGAAAATATTGGGAGGGGACAGGAAATATGGGGAGGGGACGGACATTCGTACCGATAATAAAATTAAGGCGACAATTTCTGCATTATTAATCGACTGATCAAAAAAAAACTTTTAAATTAATAAACACGTTTATAATTGCAATTTGTTGTATAGACCTATGCAGTGGCGAAACTTGAAAAAAAGGGCCATCCCGCAAAAAAAAAAATGTAATATATATATATATATATATATATATATATATATATAATATAAGAGGGCTGTGTCTGTCCGTCCGTCATCGCTATAAATTTTGGAACCATAAAAGTAAACTATGCACCATGCAGTGCTTTTGAGTGCACCGCAGTGTCTTATTATAAGTATTAGAGTAGGGTTTGTTTATATAACGACATAGAGCTATTTTATAATTTCCACTGTTTGTACAATTTTGCATAACGTAAAGAGAATATTAAATACATGCACATTGCTAAAACATATTAAAAGGATCAATGTCAAATATCGTTTTCGTTAATATTCCTAGAGAAAGTGGATACATTTTAATAACATAATAGCTGTAGGTTAGAAAAATCTAATTAAACTGTTTAGTAATTTAGCCAAGGGAGGTATTTTAAAAAATAAATTGAACTCACGCTAAAAATGTGAATGCAAAATCTGCAAGACGGAATAATTGTTGGAATAATATAATTAGCAAAATGTGAATGCAAATTATGCAGGCGTGTAAGAGTACATTATTGTTGGAATATTATAATTAGCATTGATTGATAAAAGGCTATTTTTTATTTATTTTATTCACTGAATGTAATGTTTACTACTTATAATTTTTAATCAACTATTAAGCACTATTATAGACGCGTCATCACGTTCATTCGGTGCGCAATGGTTTTAGTTATGAAACTCTATTGTAAATTTTTAAAATTTAAAGTACTGGGAAAAAATGCGTGAATGGATAAAGTGAAATATTGTAGGTAAAACACGGATATTTTAAATACTGCCTATTATTTATGCTGTTTACTAATTATTATTCTATCTTTCGGTTTGCGGACAAGCTAGGGGTTTTATAGGAGAGGCGTAGCGAGGGGGGAGCATATGTCCCCGGGTGCCAACCTTAGGGGGCGCCAAAGTGGGTTGGAAAAAATGTGCGAGGGGGGGTGGTGGAAATCGAAAGTTTTAGGGCGGGGGGGGGGAGACAGGGGTGCAAATCGAAAGTTTGAGGGGGGTGAAAATCACCGGAAAGGGCGCGATTTGGCGCTACGGGCTATACTGTGAGCAATATGCCTTTATGATTACATTTAAATTGTGTTTATGTTATGAGCGTTGTGTTTGTTTTTTCGTTTGTGTTTTTTTTTTTTTGCGTTCGTTTGTGTTGTGTTTAGTTTTGTTCTGTTCCCAAGTTGGTACATTTTAAAAAATTTACCGTGGCGGAGCACGGGATGCAGCTAGTATATATATATTTATATATAGGCCTATATATACGAGCCGACCCGCTGCGTATCATACGCCGCTATTTAGTTTTTTTTTCTACTTTTCAGTAATTTATAATTTTTGAATTCGACAGTACCAATGCTGCCATTGAAAATATTTGCTTAAAAACACTACCCCCCCCCCCCCCCCACGTGAAAGCAGCCTCCTCTTAGTTACCTCCTCTAAGTTTAAAATCGTTTCAAACTAAATTATCTGCCCCTAATAGCCGTCACCAAACCCGTCTCTGTGATTGTAAAATGTAAACAGAGTGAACACCGCTCACCAGATTATGTGGGGGTGGGGTGGGGGTGGTAGTGATAGTGATAGAGAGGAAGAGAGGGGACTGCAAAGGCGCGCTTGCAGCTTGTTTTCTAACTGATCCCAGAAGAGAATTATATATATAGATATCTATAATATAAGCGGGCTGTCTGTCCTTCCTTCCGTCCGTCATCGCTATAGATTTTGGAACCATAAAAGTAAACATCGCACCATTTAGTGCTTTGCAGTGCATCGCATTGTCTTATTATAAGTATTAGAGTAGGGTCTGTTTATATAACGACATAGAGCTATTTTATAATTTCCACTGTTTGTACAATTTTGCATAACGTAAAGAGAATATTAAATACACGCACATTGCTAAAACATATTAAAAGGATCAATGTCAAATATCGTTTTCGTTAATATTCCTAGAAAAAGTGGATACATTTTTATAACATAATAACTGTAGGTTAGAAAAATCTAATTAAACTGTTTAGTAATTTTGCCAAGGGAGGTATTTTAAAAATAAATTGAACTCACGCTAAAAATGTGAATGCAGAATCTGCAAGAAGGAATAATTGTTGGAATAATATAATTAGCAAAATGTGAATGCAAATTATGCAGACGTGTAAGAGTACATTATTGTTGGAATATTATAATTAGCATTGATTGATAAAAGGCTATTTTTTATTTATTTTATTCACTGAATGTAATGTTTACTACTTATAATTTTTAATCAACTATTAAGCACTATTATAGACGCGTCATCACGTTCATTCGGTGCGCAATGGTTTTAGTTATGAAACTCTATTGTAAATTTTTAAAATTTAAAGTACTGGGAAAAAATGCGTGAATGGATAAAGTGAAATATTGTAGGTAAAACACGGATATTTTAAATACTGCCTATTATTTATGCTGTTTACTAATTATTATTCTATCTTTCGGTTTGCGGACAAGCTAGGGGTTTTATAGGAGAGGCGTAGCGAGGGGGGAGCATATGTCCCCGGGTGCCAACCTTAGGGGGCGCCAAAGTGGGTTGGAAAAAATGTGCGAGGGGGGGTGGTGGAAATCGAAAGTTTTAGGGCGGGGGGGGGGGGAGACAGGGGTGCAAATCGAAAGTTTGAGGGGGGTGAAAATCACCGGAAAGGGCGCGATTTGGCGCTACGGGCTATACTGTGAGCAATATGCCTTTATGATTACATTTAAATTGTGTTTATGTTATGAGCGTTGTGTTTGTTTTTTCGTTTGTGTTTTTTTTTTTTTTGCGTTCGTTTGTGTTGTGTTTAGTTTTGTTCTGTTCCCAAGTTGGTACATTTTAAAAAATTTACCGTGGCGGAGCACGGGATGCAGCTAGTATATATATATTTATATATAGGCCTATATATACGAGCCGACCCGCTGCGTATCATACGCCGCTATTTAGTTTTTTTTTCTACTTTTCAGTAATTTATAATTTTTGAATTCGACAGTACCAATGCTGCCATTGAAAATATTTGCTTAAAAACACTACCCCCCCCCCCCCCCCCCCCCCCACGTGAAAGCAGCCTCCTCTTAGTTACCTCCTCTAAGTTTAAAATCGTTTCAAACTAAATTATCTGCCCCTAATAGCCGTCACCAAACCCGTCTCTGTGATTGTAAAATGTAAACAGAGTGAACACCGCTCACCAGATTATGTGGGGGTGGGGTGGGGGTGGTAGTGATAGTGATAGAGAGGAAGAGAGGGGACTGCAAAGGCGCGCTTGCAGCTTGTTTTCTAACTGATCCCAGAAGAGAATTATATATATAGATATCTATAATATAAGCGGGCTGTCTGTCCTTCCTTCCGTCCGTCATCGCTATAGATTTTGGAACCATAAAAGTAAACATCGCACCATTTAGTGCTTTGCAGTGCATCGCATTGTCTTATTATAAGTATTAGAGTAGGGTCTGTTTATATAACGACATAGAGCTATTTTATAATTTCCACTGTTTGTACAATTTTGCATAACGTAAAGAGAATATTAAATACACGCACATTGCTAAAACATATTAAAAGGATCAATGTCAAATATCGTTTTCGTTAATATTCCTAGAAAAAGTGGATACATTTTTATAACATAATAACTGTAGGTTAGAAAAATCTAATTAAACTGTTTAGTAATTTTGCCAAGGGAGGTATTTTAAAAATAAATTGAACTCACGCTAAAAATGTGAATGCAGAATCTGCAAGAAGGAATAATTGTTGGAATAATATAATTAGCAAAATGTGAATGCAAATTATGCAGACGTGTAAGAGTACATTATTGTTGGAATATTATAATTAGCATTGATTGATAAAAGGCTATTTTTTATTTATTTTATTCACTGAATGTAATGTTTACTACTTATAATTTTTAATCAACTATTAAGCACTATTATAGACGCGTCATCACGTTCATTTGGTGCGAAATGGTTTTAGTTATGAAACTCTATTGTAAATTTTTAAAATTTAAAGTACTGGGAAAAAATTCGTGAATTGATAAAGTGATATAATATGGTAGGTAAAACACGGATATTTTAAATACTGCTGGGGGTTTTATAGGAGAGGCGTAGAGAGGGGGGGACATATGTCCCCGGTTGCCGACCTAAGGGGGCGCCAAAGTGGGTTGAAAAAAATGTGCGGGGTGGGGGGTGGTGGAAATCGGAAGTTTGAGGGCGGTGGAAGGGTGCAAATCGAAAGTTTGATGGGGGGGGGGGGGAATTTTCAAATCAAAAGTGGTGCAAATCGAAAGTCTGAACAAGGGGGGGGGGGGTGCAAATCGAAAGTTTAAGGGGGTGGGGTGGAAATTGAAATTTTGAGGAGAGGGGGTGCAAATCGTAAGTTTGAGGGGGAGGGGGGTCAAATTGAAAGTTTTTCCCCGGGCGCCGGAAAGGGTCGCTACGCCTCTGTTTTATAGTTATTCACTGTGTCAGACGCGTCCGGCGGCGCTCGGGAAGGGCGCGATTTGGCGCTACGGGCTAGACTGTGAGCAATATGCCTTTATGATTGCATTTAAATTGTGTTTATGTTATGAGTGTTGTGTTTGTTTTTTCTTTTGTGTTTTTTTTTCGTTCGTTTGTGTTGTGTTTAGTTTTGTTCTGTTCCCCAGTTGGTACATTTAAAAAAGATTTACCGTGGCGCAGCACGGGATGCAGCTAGTATATATATATAAACAGAATACGAACATAGAATACTCATTTCTGCATTTCTAGCCTGATCGGGTTTTGAAAAATAAATGTCTTTGTTGTGTTTTTTTTATATTACAACACACATGTTATTTGTGTGAGTGCATTAGTCTGTTTTGAAAATCTCTATTTTATTTTATGTCTGCCGTAATACTTCCTATCCTCGTGTACCAAAGGAATATAAGTCGGTCAAATGAATATAAAACGTGAAGGCTTTGTATCGGGCTGAGAACAATAATCCATGTTACCTACGAAGAGATGACATTTTATGGTGGGTTAGAAACAGGTGGGGGCTGGGTATCATGTAGATAAGACACTTTAAGGGGAAGCATCGGTATATTATGTCGGATCACTTCCCTGCTGGACCATGAGGGTCATAAATTACATAACATGCTACCCAGATTGGCTGAGATCTAAGAACAGCAGTGGCTGTTACCTCAGAAGTAGATAAGTGGTTTTATTGGGGGTTTTGTAGGGCTTAAGTGGTCTCACGTTTGTTACTGTAGTGTAGATCTATTACATCTATTGCTACTAGATCTCGTTCTTGTACTTAACCGATTAAATTGCATAAATAAAATTGGTATCAAATTAAAGGTAAATAAATGTAGTTTTTATTTGTTTAAGTCATCTTGAACAATAATGAAGTTTAAAAGCTTAGGCGACACCATATTTTAAAGCAAATATGTTTAGTCGTGTCGACTTCATAAATTAGGAATATCTAAAACGTCCAAACAAATATTTAGACTCAGAACAGGCCACAACAGACTAAAACAGCACATGCATAAAAAAAACTAAAAATTGGGTGTGGCGAAACTTGCCCTTGGGGCAAGACCCCTGAGAATACGGAGCACGTCCTTCAAGACTGTTCATTATAAAGCCAGGCGCGATCCAAACACTGGCCCCTACACACCCCACTCAAGGAAAAACTATATGGGGCACCAGCTGATCTGGAGACCACAGTACAGTTCACACACGAAGTTGGGCTGGTTGTTTAAATTCACCATCATATACTTAATTAAGAACGAAGAAGAAGAAAGAAGAAGAAACAAATATTTTTTTTAAAACAACTTTACAGCAAAAAGCTTTTGTCGATAAAATATGTAAAGATCTCATGAGTGACCAAAGCTTCTAAAAATAGTAAGCCCCTACTTGTTTGGTAGGCGAGCGACGACGTAAACAGAAATAGAGGCCATGAACCCACGGAGGCCTTGCGATTTGTTAATCTGAGGATTAACAAAAATTCATCGTTAGAGTATAGAGATAATACTTTTTGCTTTTTTTCAACATACACTCACAAAGTGTTTAGTAATTTTCATGAGTTTTTGATAATGAGAAAATGATTGAAATAAAAAAAACTACTTTACTTTGACGCTTAAAACGTAGGCCTACCTTTTAGTTTTAGTATTTAAGCCTAATAATAAAATTAACGAAAATATAAAATCCGTATATTATTTACATTGGTAATTTCTATGTTAAAATAGTATACTGAGTTCCATTATAAAAATAGTATACTAAGTTCCAGTAAATTTTTGTAAAAATCCAGGACGGGGACTGACCACTGACCACCATTTTTCATCATTCACTGGGGTCGCAGACAGAGGTGTAGCGGGGAGGGGGGGGGAGCCGACTTTTAGGTGGCACCAAAAAGGAGAGCCGACTTTTAGGTGGCACCAATAGGGGTGATTAAAAGCTTATTTCAAGCTGCAGTATTTGACTATTGACAGTATTTAACTATTGACAGTATTTAAATATTGACAATATTTAACTATTGACAGTATTTAACTATGGACAGTATTTAACTATTGACAGTATTTAACTATTTACAGTATTAAACTATTGACCGTATTTAACTATTGAAGGTATTTAACTATTGACAGTATTTAACTATTGATAGTGAAAGTTAAGAAAATAAACGGCGATTTAAATGTTTTCTACCTTGATTGTAAAAATGGTAAAATAAAACATTAGACCTTCCTTGAGAGCAGTGTTTCTTTCATACCTTTTTCTCCGGGATAGTTAGGCTTTGAGTGTGCAACATTAGGTTCGCTAGGCTTTGGTTGTTCTGTATTTGTAGGTCTGGGTTAACAGTTTCAACTTTGACTTATATTGTATTTGCAGAGCTTAGGTTTGTTAATTTCAAATAAGCAAAGCTGTGCGATACAACCCGTTAGCGATATCGAAAGAATGTGAAGGACACACCCAATGTTACAAGTTGAGGTCAAGGACGAAGTACGTGCTGGATGCTGCCCCAGGCTGACACGCTACCAGCTGATAGGACTTGTCTTCATACTTTCCTCAAGCCTCATATACATGATTAGCATCAGGGTTAGTGAACACTGGGTTAGGGTTAGAGCAAGTTCGAGAACCTCATCCCTTGTTTGTGCGTCTTACATAGCTCACCAGAGATTGGCTACAGTCTACACACATGTAAATAGTCCAGGAGACAGAAGAGGCTAGTTTTTCCTTCATGTATTTTTTCCCTTTATACTTCGCTTATTTGTTTTTTTCTTAGATTTGGACATTATTAAAACTATTTTACTGTTTAATTTTTATATTTCTATTCGTTGATTACTCATTATTTCTTTATCCCACTCTTTCATATATATATATATATATATATATATATATATATATATATATATATATATTATATATATATATATATATATATATGTGTGTGTGTGTCTGTATGGGTGTGCCTGTATGTGTGTGTACATTTTTGTGTGTCCTTATTCATATCTATAACTCCAAAACTCCACCCTAATACTTAACTCAGTTTTGTGACAAAATGATCTATTAATTGAACAGGTCATTTGACTTTTGAACCCAATGCTAGCCGACATTCCTACTTTCCGTCTGCCCTCGTTATTGGTGCTCGGAAAGCTGGCACAAGAGCTCTTCTTCGTTTCATCAACCTCCACCCTGATGTCGTCATATCAGCCAAAGAGCTGCATTATTTTGACAGGTAACCCTAACCCTAACCCAAAGAGCTGCATTATTTTGACAGGTAACTTTAACCCTAACCCAAAGAGCTGCATTATTTTGACAGGTAACTTAAACCCTAACCTTTCGTCTTTTAGCTATTTCATTTTACTCAAATACATAAAACAAAAATTAAAAAAAAAAACTTTATAGCAAGATGCTTTTAAAAGCACTGAAAGATAAGACGATAAAACTAATTTGCTTTCTTGTATAAAAAGCTTTGTTACTCATGAGACCTTTTACTTATTTTAGCAACCAAAGCTTGTATGGATTTGTGGGAAATTTAATATCTTATATTCGATCCACTTTCCATATAATTTCGCCTCATTTGACAACGAAAGAACATCTACTTGTTAATCATATTGGATATTAAATTCATTTCGTAATAATAAAATAGATTACTAAATTAAATTATAATAAATGGGGGTGATCTTCCCTAAACTTTCTCCAATATTGTTATATAACACTACGGGGGATGGCAACTCGGGATATAGACATGATTTTAATCTACTTTTAATTACTTAAACTTTTAAAAGTAGAATAGAATCTCGTAGAAAACAATATATGTATAATAGTGCGGAGTATTAGTTCTTTATAAATTCATATTCGTTTTTTGAGAAATCGGAAATAGCTGAAATTACTACTTTCGGCCAACGGAAATTATTCAAAATTTGAAAGAACGCAGAGAATTAGATCTTTTACTAACATGTGAAATTTCATTTATCTATCTGAAACAGTACTCAAGTTATAGGCTTTTGAAAAATTGAAAGTAGAATAAGTTCCACTTCCGTTTAACGAAAATCGCTGAAAAGTTGATACAGAACTACTAATGTGATATAGGGCCTACTTATATACGAAATTTCATCAACCTAGCTGTAACAGTACTCAAGTTATCGTGTTTACATACATATACACATACACACAGAGACATACGGACAAAATTGCAAAACTATGTTTTTCCGACTCAGGGAGGTGTAAAACGTCGAGATTTGTAAAATCTATACTTCGTGTACGAGAAAGTAACAAGGAGAGATGATAAGATAAGAATCCATATTTATGGAAGCCCTTAGTACCCGTTACACGTGAATTATATGCCTATATATTTTAATGCTATACGTGTTTGAGAAAAATATTTTCTAAAATAGTTGTTGGTAAAAAGCAATGTGCTTTACTATACGTTGAACAATATTAGTGACAAAACAAAAATATAACTAAATCGCTACAAATCCAACACATTTAAAATAACATAGGCTACCAATACTTATTAGAAAAATTAAAACCAAAGTATACACATTGTTAGTCAACAGAACACCATACTAATGCACACACTGATTAAGAGACTCAAATGATTCCATTAAAAATCCGGCTATTCAATGGTCAATATGTTGTTTTTAAAGTAATTTGTATTAGTTTGACGGAGAAATTTTATACATTTCATAGCGTTCTTCTTGATACTTAGATTTATAGAATCTAGATATAAATCAAATTTTAATGAAATAGTTCATTTCTTTATATTCTAAAGTCGGAAAGTGACGCCATGAGTGTATTGTGTTCTTTCTGTAGTGTAAATTAGTGGCATGTGACGTCATTGTTTGTTGCGTTTTCCGGGTGCATAATTAAAAATGTTTTTCTACATTCGAATATGCCTATATTTTTATTTTTCTTCTTTAAATAAAATTTAGTTTATACATTTAAAACATCTAACATATTTTTTTTTAAAGTCCGTATCAAGTTATCCATATATCGCTGAACATACTGATATCAAAGCCTGTGAAAATATTTTGCGGACAGAGAGAGAGAAGAGCGCACATGGGCTTTTATATATTTGGATGATTTGTTTTTATTTTGTGTTTGTCACAACATTAATCGTCAGTTAACGTTATAATCAGATTTTGTTTTCAAGTTTCTCACTAGCCCAAACGACTATTACAGCTTCTATGAAAAGAGCTTTGATTGGTACCGCCGTCAGATGCCTCTATCCTTGCCACACCAGCTGACCATAGAGAAGACACCAAACTACTTTGTCGATTTAAATGTACCGAAACGTGTCTACCATTTTAACCCGTCGATCAAACTTATTCTAGTTGTAAGGAACCCAATAGACAGGGCTGTATCGGATTACGTACAGCTTAAGGTATTTCCATTTTATTTTCATTTTTAAGTATACCTTAACTGTGGAAGCAGAGTTTCTTCCAGGCACGCCCGAAGAAAGTCTACTCCCCTGAACGAAATGCAATTTATATAGAAATATATACTTTTTACAGTGTCCCCCCCCCCCCTCCCCACTCCCCGATTTTTTTTTTATTAAAACGTAAATATTAGGTCACTGAGCATAAAACTACTAGTTCAATGTACACAATTATCAGCCTCAACAAGAGGCTCTCATAAATTAAAGTAAAATGTACATTGATCCATGACTAAACCCAGACCATCATAGTACCACGTGGTCTGGATACAACAACCATTGAGACTTCTAGAAGTCGAAGTGACTAAATAGTACCTAGTCACTTCGTATACAACATAAGCAAACTATTAAAAGGAAAACATAATAAAACACTATAAAAATAGCTCTATGTTACCATAACCACAAAAATGTGACACAGAAACACTTCAACACACAGGCCTCAACATTCCCGCAGAATGTCCCTCCCAGTCCACACACCACCTTCATGAACTAAAAACAAATACTACGCACAAGAAAATAGTCCCTAATACAACAATAACTAACATTCACGACATAAAACAAAGTGGAACCACACACCAAAACAAAGTTTGCACAAATAACATCAAAATATAAACAAGACAAAGCAATTATAAACCATTTTAAAATGCTAATCATATCAGCGCCAGAATAGCGGACTACTTAACTAGAAACCACAACAATCCTCAAAAGGAACACAAAAAGTGACATTCACCTTTTTGTAATAAAATAATAATTAAATAACTCACTAGCCCCTTACAGTAAGTTGAATCAGGTGGTTCTGCCGGCGAACCAGCACGATGCGATTTGGCGCACTGGGCTAGATTGTGAGCACTATGCGTTTCTGTTTGCATTGAAGTTGTGTTTATGCTATGAGTGTTGCATTTGAGTTTGTGTTTGCGGTTTTTTTTTTGCGTTTGCATTTGTGTTTGCATTGTGTTTGCGTTTTCTTTTGTGTTTGCGTTTTGCTTTTGTGTTGTCGTTTATATTTTTGCGTTTGCATTGTTTTTGTTTTTGCGGTTTCTTTTGTGTTTGTGCTGTTTTCGTGTTTTCTTTTATGTTTGCGTTGTGTTTGTGTTTAGGTTGATCATAAGGTTGGATTTTTCGCACTCATCAACATGCATTCTTCTGTGTTCCAGTGGTTAGTTTTCAATACAAATTACGAAAAAACTAACCCTAACCCATTGGCCTAATATGTTTGACCATGTATGGTCACCACTATTTTCTGTCTAATCGTAACCATAGCCCTAACAGTTTTTTGTTGTTTTATTTTTGTTGTTTTGCTTACACAGTTCAAACTTATGAAGAAGCAACAAAAGAAGAGGTTGGAGAATGGTACAATATTTAGCTTCGGAGATTTTGAGGACTACATTTTTGTTGAGAACACAAGTGAAGTCAATAAATCGTATGCACCCATCAAAAGATCTTTGTACTCTTGCCATCTTGAACGCTGGTTGACCTATTTTCGCCTTTCACAAATCCTAGTTGTCGATGGTGAAAATCTCAAGGTAAAGCCTTGGGAGGAAACACAAAAGGTTTGTCATTAGGTTTATCATTTACGGTTATCGTTTGGTAGTTGCGTAGTTAAGGAGTATGTGGGGCGGCCACCCCCAGGTGCCCATCCTTTATAATTGTTTTCTAACTAGATTGTGTAACAGTAAAAAAAAATTAAAGATGGAGGGAGGGAAGTATTAACACCGGATTGGTTAGTATATAAGTCATTCAAAGCATAGAAAAGAAACCAATTTTCAACGCATAATTACTATTTCTCCAGCCAGTGTTTAAAAAAAATGACGCGACTAGTTCTTTCTAGTTAAAATTTAAGATTCTCTCAACTTCAGAGATCAGAGATTTTTTTCTTGATTGCATCAAATATTGCCTGGATCCTTTAGAAATAAATGTCGCGGATTCTTGAATGGCAATCTGATCAATAATTGGAATAGGGTCGGGGCGGGTGATGTTTGGTCGAAATTTTGAGAACGTAAGAAATATATGACCTGGCTTTTTAAAACTACCTAATACACTTTTCTACTATTAAATTATTTATTTGTACCGAACAGAGAAGCTTTTGATTATTTCATAAGTCTATAATACAGCAATTTTCATATAGTTAAGACACTTGATTCCTAAACGAGGTTCAACTTCTGAACACGATACAATTCAACGACTGCTACTGCTTTGATAATCGACTGATAATGATAATCCAAAACGATTATTTAGTATTGTCCTAAAGAGATTAGTAGTATATTAGGTCCCTTTTGGACCGTTTTTTTTTTTTGCGTAGGGTGAGGCGGAGGCGGATCAAAGGTTATATAGGAAAATATTCCCTACCTGGCGCTGGCGCAGGTTGAGGCGGATGGTGAGCCTGGAGCAACGAGATATTGTAAAATACTCACCCACCTGGGTGAAGGTGGGTGAGCGGGTGGGTGAGGGTGGGTGAGGCGGAGGGGGAGTAGGTCATTAGGTCAGGTGAGGAGGTGACGTTGTGACGTAATCACCACGGGTGAACCTAGTTACGTAATCACCATCGGTGACCTAGTTACGTAATTTGTTTTTAATGAGTTTGTTTGATTTTAGTATTTTTTTTTTAATTAGTTTAATTTTAATTTTTTTAATTTTTAATTTATTTTGTTTTTAATGAGTTTTTAATTAGTTTTTAATTAGTTTTTTAAAAATTAGTTTGAGTTTTTAAAATTTTAATTAGTTTAATTTTTAATTAGTTTGAATTTTTATTTATTTTTTATTTTAATTTTATTTTTATTAACTAGTTACGTAATTTGATTATTTGAGAAAAGACATTAATTACTGCGCGACACCTGTCAAAAACGGGCAGCGCGCGCTGGCGGGCAAATATCTTTGATGTTTGCGATAATTTGAAAGAGATGTCGTTAATGGTTGTTGGAAACCTACACAAAGAACTTTTTATTTTTGTACACGTTCGTTGTGGTGGAGTATTTTAAAATTAAAAAACATACAATAAAATAAAATGAATTAAACCAACAAATAAACAAATAAACAAATACAAAATTAATTAAAATTAATTAAAATTTAAAAATAAAATTTAAAAATTAAAAAAATTAAAAAATGTTAATGAAAAAATTCAAATTAATAAAAAATCAAATTAAAATCATATCAATTAAAATCAAACAAATAATCATATTACGTAACTAGTTAATTTGAGGGGGGGGTGCAAATCGAACGTTTGAGGGGGTGGGGTACAAATCGGAATTTTAAAGTTTGTCCCCGGGAAGGGTCGCTTCGCCCCTGGGGGGTGACACCATTAAGTGCCGCACCGGGTGACACCCAACCTCGCTACGCCATTGGGTTAGGGTTAGGGTTAATCTCCATTAAAATCGCATTTATAGTGTTAGTTAATTTCTTCTCAAATATTTTAGAACCTTTGGTTTAGGGTTAGGCTTGAAACATTGAGTAATCGATTTCTATTATAATTTCCCCAACACAGTCTTTGGCTATCACTTAATTTTTTTTAAAATGTTACACGTCGCTACGATTGTAGGAAAAAAGTCACAGGGAAAAAAACAGAAAAAATTACAGGAAAAAAGACACAGGCAAAAAGTCACAAATTTGTATTTGCAAGGGATTTTAAAAATTCTTTTATATTTTAAATATTCAGCTAGTGCAAATTAACTTACTATTCATTAAATGCAAAGTAATGTGCATATACTAATATTTATGACACACGTACAAATGTTTAGTATAAAGTATGTGGATTTTAATTCCGTTATTCAAATAAAATTTAATACAATTTAACAGAATGTTCCAACCTTCTTGGTTTTTATTGTGTTTTTTAAATATTAACTTTAAATTAGCGTTAATGGCATAAAATTGTAGTTAATGTGATTTACTGTCCTCAACTCATTGCAACAATAAATCAACCTCCTCTATGGTCCACATTTATCACGCTTATTACATAGCAAAGTGTAGGATCAAAACAGAAAGCAGCTGGTAAGCAACTTCTTCTGCTCGCAATAATATGAACTTGGTTAAATGATCCTGGTAACTGAGTATAAACTTGTATAGAATGCTATACAAACAAGAGCTAAACAATACCTTACTCACAATGAAACCACTCAGAATAATGAAAACGCGATCACAACTTAGAACATTGGCCAGGACATCCCGGCCATTGCGCGTATTGGCCGGCCAATGTACAAAATACGCTCTTAGTGTTAAGTTCTTCGGGCTTTGTCCAAGAAAGCCGGACAATGCGCACATTGGCCGGCCAATGCGGGCTTTGGCCGCACTTTGGGCTTTGACCGTAACAAGGAAAATCACTACGAATCATCGCATCTTCATAATCACTGACCGGCGGCCAAGGCTACATTTACTGCAATTACACAACCTAGTGCACAACAAATCGCTGCAAGTGTAAAAATAACAATGTTATTCCAAATAATAATCAACAAAGACTTAATTTTTATGATCCTTACGGTATTAAAAAAAAAATCTGCTCATGAACTTTGGCCGGTCATTGGTAGGCAATATTGGCCAATGCGCGCATTGGCCGGCCAATGCACGCTTTGGCCGACTTCGGGCTTTGACCGTAACATATATATATATATATATATATATATATATATATATATATATATATATATATATATATATATATATATATATATATATATATATATATATGTTACGGTCAAAGCCCGAAATCGGCCAATGCGCGGATTGGCCGGCCAATTCGCGCATTGGCCAATATCGCCTTCCATTGACCGGTCAAAGTCCAAAACTTTGCTTGATTTCGGCCTTTGGCCGGCCAATCCGCGGACTGCCCATGGTGGACCGATCAAAGTCTGAAATAGCTCGTGATTTCGGCCTTTGGCCGGCCAGTCCGCGGACTGGCCATGGTGGACCAGCCAAAGTCTTTATTAGAAGATCACCTGGCTAGGGACGACCGGCCAAAGTCCGATTAGAAGATCATGAGCAGATGTTGGGTTTTTTTATGCCGTAAGGATCATGAAATTAAGTTTGTATTGATTATTTATTAAAGTAAATGACAGAAACATTCACATTTTTATTGTACTGTAGTCTCAATCAATCAATATTATCATTTGTTACAACAAGTTGAACTTTCATGGCATTTAGAATTACATAGTAGCTTGTTATTTTTTACACTTGCAGCGATTTATTATGCACTTGGTTGTGCAATTGCAGCGAGTGTAGCCTTGGCCCCCAGTCATTGATTGTGAAGATGCGATGGTTTGTAGTGATTTTTCCTCAGTGCCAACTGACGACAATAAGAGCAGTTTTTCGTGAAGAATTGAAAACTCACTTCTAGCATACAGTTGTTTTAGATCACCATGTTCCGTTCCTAATTTATAGAAACCGCCTTCGACGCTCATGACAACTGCAATCACGCTTCGGGGATCACCGCGACCTCTGTCAACATCTGGAACACAGATGTGTACATCGTCACCCACTTCAGCATCTTTAAATTTTGTATTTGATGTTTTAAGCATCTTAGCACCTAGAGTTTGCAAGCTAGTATGAGCTGCTGACCTGTGTTCCGTGATGTCTTGTTTGTTGTGACATAATCTGCAGGTAATATTTCCTCCGTACCCTTCGTCTGCTTCATTGGCTATTCCGCAAATAGCATGGACATCGTTGCCACAGGATCCACAAGGATGAGCTGCACTACAATATTTGTCACAAACTATACAGAATCTGTTGGCCATATTATTGTCACGCAACTGGTCTGGAAGCTCCGCACCGGCAGCAGATGTGTCATTTGAGAAAGTCGTTGCATTTATGGCAACCTCCATTTCTTGTTCAATGTTCTCAAGATCTTCCTCAGTAACTATTTTATCAAGAGCCTCTCTTGGTAGATTTGAAGTGCTAAGTCTGTCTCATGGTCTGATGGCCCTTTTGATCCATGTCGCCTTGCATATAGAATGCTATGCAAACAAGAGCTAAACAATACGTTACTCACAATGAAACCGCACCCAGAATAATGAAAACGCGATCACAACTTATTCTAGATAGAACATTGGCCAGGACATCCCGGCCAGTGCGCGCATTGGCCGGTCAATGTACAAAATACGCTGTCAAGTTTAAGCGCTTCGGACTTTGGCCAGTACGTCCCGGCCAGTGCGCGCATTTGCCGGCCAATGTACTTAGTGCTGAGTTCGTCGGGCTTTGGCCAAGAGAGCCGGCCAATCCGCGCATTGGCCGGCCAATCCGCGCTTTGGCCGCACTTCGGGCTTTGACCGTAACATATAAACCATATACTTTTTTCCTTTGGTGGGGGTGACACCCTAACCCTAACTGTTAACTCTAAACTGGTTTTGAAAAGGTTCATGAGCAACAACCCGTTACAGGTTGAAACCATTCAATAAACCTGGTATTAGATGTCAAAACCTTACTACATGTAAGCAATAATCCTTATTTTAACCCCTTACAGGTTGAAACCTTTCTGCACCTCCAACACCAAGTAAAACGCGATCAATTTGTTTACAACCAGACCAAAAGATTTTTCTGCATCAAGGGAGAATCGAAACTAGGCCACGACCTACATTTGACCAGCCCCCGATGTTTAGCTGACAGCAAAGGGAGGCAACATCCCAAATTACGTCATGGCACCAGAAAAATTTTGCGAAATTTCTTTCAACCTTTCAATTCCAGATTTTTCTCTAGAATTGGTCGGAAATTTAATTGGAGCTAGGCTGTTCTTTGAAAATGAGGATATGCTCTCAAATGACGCACACCCGCCGAATCCCCAACATTTACCAAACACCTCAACATCCCCACCTCCTTCGATGGAAATCATTTAATTTTTTTTTTAAACGGGAGTGATCTCCCCTACATTTTCTCCAATATTCTTAGATAACACTAATGGGGATGGCAACTTCAGTGCTGTCAGAATATAGACATTTTAAAAAATCTGTCTCAAAAAGTTTAAAGTTTTAAATAGAATAGAATTTTGTAGAAAAAAGAATTGCGCACCAAGTAAACAGCAAATGATCTGTTTATAATAGTGAGGAGCATTAGTACTTTATAAAGAAAGACAGAAAAATCAAGTTAAAAATAAATTCATATGCGTTTTTTAGGAGAAATAGGAAATAGAATAAAGTACTACCACACCGAAAATTACTAAAAATTTGTCAGAAAACAGAGAATTAGATCTTCTACATATTATGAGAAATTTCTTCTAACAGAAACAGTAATTAAGTTATAGGCTTTTGAAAAACCAAAAGTAAAATAAGTTCCACTTCAGGTAACCGGAAATCGCTGAAAAATTGATACAGAATTACAAATTTAATATAAAACTGATATAATATTTATTTATGAAATTTCATCAACCTAGCTGTAACGGTATTTAAGTTATGTTCACAGACACTCATCTACACATACTCACACACACAGACATACGGACAAAATTACTAAACTATGTTTTTTTCAACTCTAGGTAATTTGTACCCCTTTAAGGGAAAAAAATATACTAAAATGAATTTCTAGTCGGAAACTTCAGGGTTCATCCACACGGGGAAGGGGAGGGGGGGTCTGGAAAAAATGACTTTTGTGGACGCCCATATATTGAATTTATCATCAAAATACTTAGGCCTTCATATTAAAATAACCGGGATTGATCTCCCTAAAACGTTCTCGAATATTCTAATATAACACTACGAGGTATGGAAACTCGGAATTTAGACATGATTTTTAATCTATTTTTAATAACTTAATTTTTTTTCAATATAGTAGAATCTCGTAGAAAAAAGAATTGCGCACCATGTGAACGGCAAACAATATCTGTATAATAGCGCAGAATAATAGTACTTTATAAATTCATATTCGGAATATTAGTTTTTTTGCGAAATCGGAAGTCGCGTAAATTACTACTTCCTGTCAACGGAAATCACTCAAAATTTAAATGAAGGCAGAGAATTAGATCTTTTACTAACGTGTGAAATATCATTTATCTTTCTGAGTACAGTACTCAAGTTTTAGGCTTTTGAAATATGGAAAGTAGAATAAGTTCCAATTCCGGTTACCGGAAATTGCTGAAAAGTTGATAAAGATTACAAGTTGATTACACGATTACAATACTTCCTCTATACTTCGTATATGAGAAGTAAAAATGTAACTTAGAAAATAAAAATTTAAAGAAACTCCTAATAAAATGTATGAATAAAATCGGCAGTTCACATGCTAAAAAAATCCACCTGAGAACTAAGAAAAACAGCAAAAAGTAACGAAAAGTAGGTCACGAAAATACCATATAAGTGTTATTTGTATAGCTGATTGTAAGCTTTGGGTGTTTCGGAGATTATTGAAAGACATGAGAAATCCATCTTTCCAATGATGCCAAATACAATAGGATGACAGATATAGAAAAATTCGTAGAGACCTTGTAAGATTGGGGAAAATGATAATTTTTTAATTAATAGGGTCATAACAATGGTATTTTAAAAACATGCAATTTGTTTCTCATTAAATTTATTATTTTCTTAATACAAAAATGGACAATGTATCCAAAAAGTGCAAGGAACCCATTAGGACAAAAAAATCAGGATTTTGGTGATTTTTTTATGATCATATCCTCTTAATACTTTGTAGTTTTTATTTGGTATGGTAAAAACATGTAAATAAGCCAAGCGCTTATCATATAGGGCCTATTTTATACTGTTAGGTTAGATATGCCTGTCGCCCCTCCTGGGACATAGAGCGCTGACAAGAACTTTCCAGGCGTCTCTGTCCTGGGCTAGTCTCTCCAACTGTCCCCAAGTGTATCCAATATTCTTGGTGTCTTCTTCCAGGTCACATCTCTGGGTCTTTCTTGGTCTTCCTCTCCTCCTCCTGCCCTGTATTTTATAGTTATTCTTTTTAACACTTTCTCGGTTCTACTTTTAATATTTAGGCCTAGTAAAATGTTACC